TCTTTCCACTCCATCCTCTGTTTTCCATTGTCAGACCACTTGTTATAAGCTTGTATGGTTTTAATGTGACTTGGCTCCAGAGCCGGGGCAGATGTTTAAACTCCAAAGATATAAGTTAATGGTAATCAGAGGGTTGAGGTTTAATCCAGTTATGGTGTTTAGGAGGTGGGCCGTGGGAGGTCCTTAGATCACTGGAGGTGCACCCTTGGAAAGTAGTTCTTGCCAGAGGCTTGATTATAAAAGCCAACTTGGGTCCAGCCTCTCTCTCTTTCTCTCTGTCTCCTTTCTCTCTCTCTCTCTCTCTCTCTCTCTCTCTCTCTCTCTCTCTCTCTCTCCTTTCTGGCTCATCGTGCAATCATTCCTCCACCCAGACTCCTTCTTGCCATGTATAGCTCTGTGGCACCTCAGGACTCTGTCAGCAAAGAGGCCATCCCCAGAGCCAAACCAATGGGGCCATCCAGTCTTGGACTGTAAGCTCTCAAAACTGTGGCCACAAGAAGAAACCTTCTTTCTTTCTTTCTTTTTTAAAAAGATTTATTTTATTTATGTGAAAGACAGAGTTACAGAGAGAGGTAGAGACAGAGAGAGAGGTCTTCCATCTGCTGGTTCACTCCCCAAATGGCCACAATGGCCGGAGCTGCTCCAATCCAAAGCCAGGAGCCAGGAGCCAGGAGCTTCTTCCAGGTTTCCCATGCAGGTGCAGGGGCCCAAGGACTTGGGCCATCTTCTACTGCTTTCCCAGGCCATAGCAGAGCTGGATCAGAAGAACAACAGCAGGGACTAGAACTGGTGCCCATATGGGATGCTGGCGCTTTAGGCCAGGGCTTTAACCTGCTGTGCCACAGCGCTGGCTCCCAGAAACCTTCTTTCGTAAGTAGATTGTCTTAGGTATTTTGTTGTGACTAATACATAAGCTAATATCCCGCAGAAACGAGCTTTAGGTGTTTGGGGGCCTTTTCCCCTGGGATCCCTTGAGGCTTCTTGGGGCCTATCCAGCAGGTCTCGGAGGCCTCCAGTCCTACCTGCTCTCCTCCCTCTCCCACCATTGCTCCAGCCAAAGATGGCGCCCAGCACAGATTTTGTGGTGACTCACTTCATCCTACCTGCTTCTCCAGCTCTCAAATGTTTTGACCTCAAAAGTTGCTATGCTGGGAAACAATTTTCCCATTTTTCATTAGGACAAACTGAGGCAGGAAGCAAAGGGCCTACCCATACTTATAGTCAGGGGCATCTAATAGAATACTTGATGGAACAACTTGGAAGTCAGTTACGGTGAGTGAATGAATGAATGAATGGAAGGGAAGAGGGATGAATGAATGAGAGAGATGACTGTGTCATTGATGCTATTACCTGAATTTGGCCCGTGGCCACCGTAACCACAGTGTGACCCTCATTCTCAGTTCCATGGGCAGGAGGGAGCTACACAGAAAATGCCTTAAGACAGATTATCGGGGAAGAGAGTGCCTGAGACATCCCGATCCTTAATCCTAGGGTTCAGCTGGAGGTGGGCCAGCCTGGGGATCCATAGGGATTCATCCTATGGTATGGGGGGCTATGGTTGAGGGGTCCCCAACATCAGGCCTTCCCAGAGCCACAGCAGCCTCTGCTGTTTGGGGACCAATGGGGTTGGGGGTGGCAGAGGCACCAGAGACCCTTGCAGAGAGGCAGGCAGGACCCTTCCCGGGTTGCTAGCATGGGGTGGACAGGATCAGGTAGAGGGGACAACGTCAGCCAAGAAGGCTGGTAGAACAACCCCTAGTGTTCCGTGGGAGGCTCCATTCTACCCGCAAGTGACCTGGCTAGTGGCTTGGTTACGCCAGGATTCCTCATTGTGGAAGTCACTCTCCCTGAAGCAGGCGGGAGGGGGATGGCCCATTCTCCTCTCCAAATCTATTCACTCTGTGAGCACTAGGCCGGGACTAACAAGAATAAATAGAGGAGCTAAGAGGACGCTATTGGGACAACCAGGGAAATTTGAATATGACCCACGTATAAGATGACAGTATTCTATCCATGCTAAAGTTCCTGACAATATAAGGACACTCTTGTTCTTAGAATGTTACCGCTGAAGCACTCAGGGTAGAGAATCATGGTTTGTACAACTAACTCAGATAGTTGAGAGATATGTGTGTGTGTAGCAGACGGGAGAAAGAAATTTGACAAAATGTTAACAAGTGGTAAATCTAGATGAAGGTTATATGGCTTTCTAAATACTATTTTTGTAACTTCCATAGGTTTGAAATTTTCAAAATAAAAAGTTGGAAGATCACTTATTGAACAATCATTGGATCCTAAAATTTAAGTAACTCTATTATCTGACTTAATCTTCAAACCAACCCGTGAGACCTTGTGATTCTCACATTGCAGACGAGCAAACTAGAACTCCAGAGAGACTAAGAACTTGCCAGGTTTACAGAACTGGGCTTAAAGCAGAGCCCAGGGGCAAGCATTGTGGTGTAGCGAGTTAAGCTGCTGCTTCAATGCTGGCATCCTATATGGGTGCCGGTTTGGGTCCCGACTGCTCCACTTCCCATCTAACTCCCTGCTAATGCACCTGGAAAAGCAGTGGAGAATGGCCCAAGTCCTTGGGTCCCTGCATCTACATGGGAGACCTAGATGAAACTCCTAGCTCCTGGCATCAGCCTGGCCCAGCCATTTGAAGAGTGAACCAGTGTATGGAAGATCTCTCTCTGTAACTCTTTCAAATAAATAATAAAAAAAAGAAAAAAAAAGAAATGAAAAAGATCCTAAAGCAGCCGGCGCCGTGGCTCAATAGGCTGATCCTCCGCTTGCGGCGCTGGCACACCGGGTTCTAGTCCCGGTCTGGGCGCCGGATTCTGTCCCGGTTGCCCCTCTTCCAGTCCAGTTCTCTGCTGTGGCCAGGGAGTGCAGTGGAGATGGCCCAAGTGCTTGGGCCCTGCACCCCATGGGAGACCAGGGGAAGCACCTGGCTCCTGCCTTCGGATCGGCACGGTGTGCCGGCCGCAGCGCGCCGGCCGCGGAGGCCATTGGAGGGTGAACCAACAGCAAAAGGAAGACCTTTCTCTCTGTTTCTCTCTCTCACTGTCCACTCTGCCTGTCAAAAAAAAAAAAAAAAAAAAACAGCCTAAAGCAGGATAGGTCACATGAGGATTGCTGTTGGAACACTGAGGGCCAACACTTTCTTGAGCCCTTCTGTGTGCTAATGGTATTTAAAAATCTTCCATGAATGTTAATTTATTTAGTTTTCCTTTCCTAAAAGATTTGCACTTTTGTGATAGATGATTTTGTTGGGCAGGTTAGAGGGAAGGAAGGGGAGCTTAAACACAGGGATGGGAGTATCGCTTGGTGTAGTCTCTTTCGCTGGCCATTTGGCAGTATCTACTGAAATTTAAAATTCACATTGTGTGGGGCCAGCGCTGTGGCATAGCAGGTACATCTAGGGAGTGAACCAGCAGATGGAAGACCTGTCTCTTTGTCTCTCCTCTCTGTCTGTAACTCTACCTCTCAAATAAATAAATAAATAAATCTTTCTAAAAAATTCACGTTATGTTTAGAGCCAGTGATTCTACTTCTAAGGTTTATTTTGTTTAAGATTTGTTTAGGGGCCAGCGCTGTGGCTTAGCGAATAAAGCCGCTGCCTTAGTGCTGGCATCCCATATGGGCGCCAGTTTGAGTCCCAGTGGCTCTACTTCTGATCCAGCTCTCTGCTATGGCCTGGGAATGCAGTAGAAGACGGCCCAAGTCCTTGAGCCTCTGAACCCACCTAGTAAACCCATAGGAAGCTCCTGGCTCCTGGCTCCTGGCTTCGGATTGGCATAGCTCCAGCTGTTGTAGCCATCTGGGGAGTGAACCAGCGGATGGAAGACCTTTCTCTCTCTTTCTTCTCTCTCTCTTTCTGCCTCTCTTTAACTCTGCCTTTCAAATAAACGAACAAATCTTTTAAAAAAAGATTTATAAATATTTGAAAAACAGAGTGACAGAGTCAGAAGGAGAGACAGAGAGATTTTCCACCTGCTGGTTCACTTCCTAAGTAGCTACAACAGCCAGATCCAGGCTATACTGAAGCCCGTAGCCAGGAACTCCATCTGGGTCTCCATGTAAGTGGCAGGGGCCCTGGTATTTGGGCCTTCTTCCACTGCCTTCCCAGGCACATTAACAGGAAGCAGAGGAGCCAGTACTTGAAACAGCAGTGCAATATGGGATGCAGGTGTTGCAAGCCAGCAGCTTAACCCACTGTGCCATAATGCCTGTCCCAACACTTTTAAATTTCAGACCATAAGACAGGCACATATATGGACTGAGAATTATGCACAACGGTATTCCGTGTAGCAAGGTATATAAGAGCCAAAGATGAGAAACATCTTGAATAGTCATCATGAAGAATATTAGGAAACTTTAAAAAAAAAAAAAAAAGGCAGCTCTAAGACTGTCGATATGTCCCGCTCAAAGTCAACAGATGATAGGAGAAAAAAAGCAAGGGATGCTTCCTTTGTAATAAGTGTGAATGTGGATACATAATGCGCATTAACATATGCACAATTTGTAAGAGGGTGCTTCAAAAAGTTCGTGGAAGAATAGAAGTCAAAGATAGTTTTATTTTCATGCAAACAATGTGAAATCCATGCATAGTTTTTTCATAATAAGCATTTTCACAAACTTTTGAATGGTCCCTCCTATGCATGGATCTCAAAATTTTTTCCATGAAAATAAATGTATCTCTTAATTCCATTTCCTACATTTTGAAGTACTCTCTTATTATGAAGACATAATACTTCTATATGCATAAAATATCTTGAAAGGATACAAAGACTTAGAGTGGAAGCTGGGATCCCGGAGGAGTTACGTGGGGGCAGGAGGTGAGGAAGCCTGGTATTTCACTGCTTCTTTTCCGTGTTTGAAATCTATGTGCACGACCTAACCTAAGTGAATGAATGAACGGTGGGTGTCCCTTAGCAAAACCCAGAGGACTTGCTGTTGGGCTTCTTAGGCGACTCCTGGCCTGGTCAGTGTCCCACCGAATGGGGTTAATCTATCCCGGAGGTACCAGGTCTTGGTCTCCCGCTGGTCCACCCTGGGCCTCCCGCAGCATCAAGAACAGCTCTCCCGAGGGTCTGCGCTCCCAAAACCCTGCCTGGGGTTGGCCAGGGGAGCTTGTCAGCTGTGCAAGTCCCCCAGCCTGCGCACTGAGCTTCAGTTTCCAACCTGGGGTGGGGGCAGGGGATGGGGGATTCCCCACCAGTGCTTGGGGTGAGTCTCACCAATGCCCACTTGGGGAATGGGGTTTTGCTTCCCTTGCAGCCTGGGCTGAGGGGGGCTGCAGGACTGGAGAGAGAAATCTCAGCGCTCACTGCCCTCCTTGGGCATCTAGCCACCCGAGCAAGTGCTGAGTGTCCCCATGCCCTCCGGGTGTGGGATTATATTGGGTGAATGGAGGAACAGCGAGATAAACACACACACACACACACACACACACACTCTCTCTCTCTCTCTCATACAGGTTCTTCCAAAAACGTGTATGGATCTCAAAATCAGTTTCACACCAAAATAAGCTTATCTTTTAATTCCTTCCCCCCCCCCCCTGTTTTTGCAGTCCCCTCCGGACGGCGGGGACTTTTTTCTTCCCCCTTTTTTTCTCCTCCAAATTACAAACCAGAACGTTTGGCCTCCCAGCGGGACGCAGTGAAAACAGGGGCTGCCAAACATCCGGGCGTTACGGGTCTCGCAGGTGGCCTCGAGGGGGCGGGGGAGGGTCTGCCTCGGCCCTCCCCTCCCTGCGAGGGTCCCACGCTGTCGGCCCGCAGGTTCCCTAGGGCGCGCGGCCCGAAGCAGCCCCCGCAGAGAGCTCGAGGGCTCGGCCCGGGAGCCCCTGCCGCCCCCGGGGACCCCGCAGCCCTCCGCGCCGGCCGCAGCTCGAGCCCAGCGGTGCGGAGAGGTGGGAGGCTGGAGCCTGCTGAGGTCATTTCCTGTGCCTGTCCGCGAGCCCAGCCCGGCGCTCTGCCTTTAAGGAGCGGGAGGGGAGCCGGGGGCGGAGGGAGCCCGGCCCGGGCGCTGAATGGGGCGCTCGGAGGCACGGCCGAGCTTTGTGCAGCGAGCCTGCGGGCAGCCCTACGGCTCCAGCCTCTCCCCGCCCCGCCCACCGCGACCCCTGCTGCCGGGGAGCGGAGACCCGGCGGCCGCTCGGGACGCCGGCGGGAGCGACGCAAGGTCAGCGGCGGCGGCGGCGGCGCGCCCAGGGCGCGCGTGAGCCCGGTGCGCGGCGGGGACGCACGCGAGCTCGCGGAAGGTGAGCGGCTCCGCGCGTTCCGCGGGGCCGGCGGGCGTGGGTGTCTGGCGGGGCGCGGGGGCCGGCTCGCTCGGGTCGGGTCGGGTCGGGAGCAGGTGCCTCCCTACCTGGAAGCGAGCGCCCGGTGGCGGGGAGCGCCGGGAGCCGCGCTGGTCGGGCTTGCGGAGCCGGGAGCGTCCGGGCACCCGCAGGAGTAGCTTTGCGGGGAGAGGAACCTGGCGTTGGGGACTGGAGTGATCCAGTTGCTCTGGGAAGCAGACGCGCAGGCTTCCACCTTGTGGGCGCTCGCTCACTTTCAACCCTGCTGCCCCTTCCTCTCCTCCTCTTAGGTTATTTCTCCTGTGATTTCTGGATGGTTCTCTCAGGGGTCCTTATGGGTCAGGCTGGACGCCTAGGGGCAGGTCAGCCGAGCGGAAGAGAAAACAGGTTGGGCGCCGAATGACATCAGGGCTTTGTGCCTTTGGAGTTGGAGAGAGGAATCGGTCGCGGGGGCGGCAGAGGCAGTGACGCCCCCACCCCTGCCAGGACGTCCCCGTAAGCTTTGCTAGAGTCCACCTCGGCAGACACCCGTGGGCTGAGCCTGGGCGCTGCGGACAGGGGTGGAGGGTGATCGACGGAGCTCTTTCTGTGCAAGACTCCTTAGTTCCTTCGGGAAACTTTTTGGACTGGTTCTGCGCTCCAGGCACAGTGGGTGGTGCCGGCGCCGCGACTTCTTGCTTCCTAGAATATCAGCGTATTACTGTTCCCCTCTTAAAAAGAGGAAACTGGGACTCTGGAGAGTTGTGACTGACCCAAGGTCATTACAGCCGAAGAGAGAAAGAGGCAGGACTCTAGAAATCCTAAAGGCGGACCCGGGTCCACTGCTTGCTCAGAGCTGGCTAATGGTCAGGTGCTCCCTGTGTTGCCAAACTGGAAACTAACAATTGAGCTGGGAAAGTGTGGTGGCCCTTTGCCAGCGATGGGGGAGAAGTGTGCCCCCACCACGCCACTCTGCCCTGGTGCATTGCTGTCTACTATTCCCTCCCTCTCTTTCTCTCGATTTACTTATTTGAGAGGCAGAGTTAGAGAGAGGGAAAGAGATCTTCCATCCTCTGGTTCACTCCCCAGATAGCCACAAAGGTCAACGCTGGGCCAGGCTGAAGCCGGGAGCTTCTTCTGTGTCTCACATGCGGGTAGCGGGGGCCTGAGCACTTGGGCCATCTTCTGCCGCTTTTCCCAGGCCATCAGCAGGGAGCTGGATGGGAAGTGGAGCAGTCGGGACTTGAATTGGCATCCATAGGGAATGCCGGTGTCGCAGGCAGCGGCTCAACCTGCTTTGCCACAACACCGGGCCCTGCTGTTTCTGTTCTTACCTCTGTGAGGCCAAGCACCTGTGTGCTGTACTCTGTACTGCTTATGGGTTGGAGAACCCTTTATACCTGTGGTGGCTACTGTGCTGGGATTCCCTGGCCCCCGTTCCAGTGGGCTTCCAGCAGGCTAGCTGTTTAGCCGACATCCTGCCTTCTATCCAAAGCTGGTTCAAAACTGACCTCTACCATGGGGAAACCAACACTGCTGGCCCAGGTGTGACTTAGAATGGCCTCAGGGGAGGGCGGCTTGGCTTCCTGGAAATTTGAAATGTACATCACTTAACCCTACGGATTTCGGATTTCGTTTCTAGAACTGTCCTTTGGGTACCCTCTGGTGTACTGAGAGGATGTATATTCGTGGATGTTCACTGCAGCATTGTTTATTTTAGCAAACGGCTGGAAACCACCCAGCTATCTGTCAGTCTGGGAGCCTTAAATAAGACAGGAGAGAATACATCACAGCTGTTACATAGCCTTGGGGGTAGGAGGTAATGGCATTTGCCAGAGTAGTTAAGATGCCACTTGGGATACCTGCCTCATATCAGAGTGCCTGAGTTTGAGTCGCCTGCTCTGCTCCCAATTCCAGCTTCCTGCCCCGCGTGCACCCTGGGAGGCAGCAGGTGATGGATCCCAGCCACCCATTGTGGGAGACCTGGATGGAGTTCCTGGCTCCTGGCTTTGGCCTGGCCCAGCTCTGGTTGTTGTGGGCTTTTGGGCAGTGAACCAGCAGGTGGGAGATCTGTCTCTGTCTTGGTGTCTGTCTTTCAAATAAAATAGAAACTCATTAATTGCTTAAAAAAAAAAAAAAACTTAAAAACTGCTTGACCTCCTTTCCTAAGTGAAGCTGATAGTGTAAACATCTGTGGGCTGTATCTCCTCCATGCCCAGGTCGTGGTTGGTTTTCCTTATGTTCGCTGAGAGTCACAATACCTATCTTTTATTGAGTGCTTACTGTGTGCCTGGCTTTTGTAATATCTCCTTTATTTCTCAAAATAATTCTGTATGATGGAGTCCATGAAATTGTCATTTTTGAAGCTCAAAGAAGTGGCGCCATGCTGGCGTTTTTCACATGGTTCCGGCGAATACCTTTTGCCCTCACTTTGAAACATTGCCCTCCATTTCTGACCTGAGGGTCGGAGCAGGTAAAGAGACGGTGCAAGGTCATGGGATTATGTAGTGCCTGAGCCAGTGTTCATGTCAGACCTGTTGGATGCCTGAGTGTGGGTCGTAGGTCCTACATGCTGGTTCTCTGTGCTGTTTTTATTCTTGAGGGATGCTGTCTCTGGTTGTCCTGACTCCTTTTGGTATTTAGATCTTGAGTCCTGGGACACACTCGCTGTTTCCTTTGTCCCTTTCCTGCATCGTGTGCAATGTGTTGCTGACCCCCAGTAGAGGTGGAATGTGACAGTGGTGAATTCAGGGGCCCCGTGCACGCCCTCCTCCCTGCCCAGAAGGAGGCTCCTTTCCCAGCCCTGGGGCAGGTGGTCAGCCTCGTGCAGATGAGCACTGTTAGAAGATGCTGGGAGCTCAGCACTGGCAACGTGGCATAGCCAACAGGTGCTCACACTCTGGGCGTGAACACAGGAGAGCGTGGTGGGAATTGTAGGGTTGTACCCACCTGGAAGCCCTGTGACTGTCTAATGCCCCCTGCGTCATCCGAGTGATGTGCTGTCCTGGGGCCTGTCTGTCCCTCTGCAGGGAGATCCTAGGACGTGCAGACTTGTACTTGAGGCTCGCGAGCCGAAGGGTCTTTATCCATCATTTGTATCTTCAACCTTCCTTGTCGGAATCCCTCAACAAAAGCTCCTTGAATTAAATTGGATTTCAGCCTTTTGTCAGTTTCTGGTTGGAGAGCTCCCAGGTCAAGTTTGTGTTTTGCTGATGCGCTCCCCCCGCCCACAGTGTGAAGTCACATCCTTGCTGACCTCGGTGGCATTTCAGTCTGGGTGCTAGAGGATTTGGGGAGCTCCAAAGCCAGTGTCACGGCCATGGCTATCGTTTGATTCACCTGCCAAGTGGTGTAGTGTTCTGGGCATCACAGGACTCCAGAGAACGGGGATCACAAGGGTGGCCGTGAGTTGATGAGAGCCGGGGCTGGCCAGGGGCACGGAGGGATTTATCGTACTGTTCTCCTGACTTCTTGTGTGGGTTGGAGCTTTCCAGAATGAAAGATGGGGGGAATCAATTGAGCTGTAAAGCAACCTTGTTTACTTGAGGTATAGAGAAACAGAGAACTCCTGTTTGCCGGTTCACTCCCCAGATGCTGGTATTGACCGGGGCTGGGCTCAGCCAAAGCTAGGAGCTGGGGATTCCGCTGGCAGGGACCCAGTGACTCCCACCATCACTGCCGCCTCCCAGGACCTGCGTCAGCAGGAAGCTGGAATCTGGAGCTGGCGCTGGGCTTCAAACCCGGGTGCTCCCCAGTTGGGTGTAGGTCTCATTTCCCCATCTGGTTCTGCCTGTAGTATTCTGTTTGTGATAGGCTCGCCTCGGGGCGTGAGACATCTGCTACCACGGCAGCAGCAGCATCGTGGAGACAGGACAGTTCTCGATAGTGGGAGGTCAGATTCATGGCCCAGCTCCGCGCTCTCCTTTGCTTTATGGCTCTAAGCGGGTCACAGATGCAGTGAGTTTTCCTCACCTGTTTGTCGTGAACGCAGAACTTATCCTCTGTCTAAAATCACACACACGTGGCGGTGCTTTGTTTGAAGTGTTAAAGCCGTTCTGCAAATGGAAGAGTTTCCCTCCTGCGCACCCTTGCATGTCTTTGTGGGAGGTCGGAGGGCAAGGTGCCTTAGCAGGTAAGGTTCGACTTAACTGGCTTCTGCCCTTAATAGCCCTGGTTTTACAGCTGTTGCGCTGACCACCTGCAGCTGTCGGAAGAGCCTCTGGGCCTTGGGCTTGGCAGCAGGCACCTTACTCCAGAGCTGCTTCCAAACCGCTCGGCTCTCCCCACATGCCACGGCAAGCCGTGGAACCTGCCAGCACCTCCAAGGCGGGCAGAGGATTAACCAGGCCTCTTGATCGGTTCAGAAACGTGAGGTCATGCAGACGCTTGGCTGGAGAAAATGCTCCCTAAAGCCTGTGTCAGCTAAGCTATCAGGACGAGGCAGAGGCCAGTGACAGGTTTTATTTCCAGAGACCCCAGAGATTTCTGCTAACTTGGGTTTTCCCTCTGTCCGTGGAACTCGAGCGGCAGCTTTGGCCATCAGTAAGAGTGAAGTACGTTGAATCAAACTTAGCTCTGCATTTCCCCGCCCTTTGGTTTCACTGGGGTACTTCTATTGGGATTTCTTAGCCCTGGGGATAGGTTACAAGGCTCCCAGGTCCTTGTCTCAGATCTTTAACTTCTTCTGTTTATGCAAGGAAAAGCAAAGTCTCCTTGAAGGATAAAGAAAATCAAACACGGAGCTTCCCGCCCCAAGGTTTTGTTTTGTCTCTCAGCTGTGATCCTAGCTCAGAAGGTCATGCTTTGTTTTTCTCTTTTGTCTTCCTGTCCGTCCCAGTTGGTCCCAGTCTTTTGAGGTGGGGATGGCCGGGAGGCCACAATGTCGGGATTGTTTGGGGTGACAGCGCTGGGAGAGCAGGGCTGAGGTCATGTGTCCAGTGTTCGGAGGAGCCCAGAACTGAGTGCCTCAGCCACCAGACCCATCAGTGGCTTGATTGTTGGGCTGTTGTCTTCAGGCCCTGGGCCCTGTTTGCTATTTTGGTTTTATTTGATTAATTTGAAGCTTGTGATTTTTATTTTTTTAAATTCATTTACTTATTTATTTGAGAGACAGACTTACGTTCCCATCTGCTTGTTGGTTCCCTGCCCAGATAGCCACAGTGGCCTGGGATGAGCAGGGCCAGGCTGAAGCCAGGAGCTGGAAACACAACCCAGGTTTCCCAGGCGAATGGCGGGGACCTGAGCACTTGCTGAGTACTGGCATTAGCAGGAAGGTAGAATCAGAATGGAGCTGGGACTTAAACTCAGACACTCTGATGTCCAAGAGGCATCTTAACCACTAGGCAGAACATCCACTCCAATAGACCTTTTATTATTATTATTATTTATTTTATTTATTTGAAAGGCAGAGTACAGAGAGGCAGAGGCAGAGAGATCTTTCATCTGCTGATTCACTCCCCAGATGGCCGCAACAGCAGGAGCTGGGCCTATCCGAAGCCAGGAGCCAGAAGCTTCTTCCGGGTCTCTGCAGGGGCCCAAGGATTTGGGCCATCCTCTACTGCTTTCCCAGGCCGTAGCAGAGAGCTGGATTGGAAGTGGAGCAGCTGGGACTTGAACTAGCCCCCATATGGGATGTTGGCACTGCAGGCTTTACCCATTACGCTGCAGCGCCGGCCCCTACCTTATGTTTTAAGCACAAAGTCGGGATATGTGCCGAGTGCCAGTGCTTGGTGGAGGTTGTAGTGTTAGGATGTTTGAGCCCAGGATGCTGCCCAGGGTCTGCCGCGTAGCTTTACCTTGAGGCTAAGGCTCTGGAAGTTCCTCTAGAATGTTCCTCTCTTTAACAGTCTGCCTCGCCCTGTGTGAAATGAGAATGCTTTCCGGGTTTTGAAGGGGTGAAGAGCACAGTGGCTGGGAACAAGGACTTTGGAGTCCCAGCCCCGCTACTCTCGCGCTGTGGAGTAGGCGGTGCCAGTTTCCTAGGCTCTCTGTCCCTGTGAGTGTGGACCACAGTCCTGACCGCTTGTCTCATACATAGGCTGTCAGCAGCATGGACACTGTGATAGCCGTGTGTAGTGGGACAGATGCGAGGAACAGTGTGGGTGATCAACCATCAGCTCCGAGATAACATCTGGAAATAGCACAGGAGGTGAGGGTCTTCAGCTGTCGCAGACCTCCTGAGGAGAGACAAGGGGATGTAAAACAGCATGGGGCTGCTGTTGCGGTATTTTCTTTTGGAAAAAAAGAATCCCAGCTGCTCTGCTTCCAGTCCAGCGCCCTGCTAATGTAGGAAAAAGGCAGACGATGGCCCACATGGGAGACCCAGATGGAGCTCCAGGCTCCTGACTCCTGGTTGGCCATACCCTGGCTGTTGTGGCCATTTGGGGAGTGAACCAGCAGGTAGAAGATCTCTGTCTCTCCCTCTCTCTGTTTCTGCCTCTTTTTCTCTCTGTCACTGCCTTTCAACTAAATAAAATCTTAAAAAACCACTAATTTTTTGGTAGAGAGATCAGTATAAAGAACTTAGGGGGCTGGTGCTATGGCACAGTGGGTTAAAGCACTGGTCTGAAGTGCCAGCATCCCTTATAGGCACCGGTTCTAGTCCCGACTGCTCCTCCTCCAATCCAGCTCTCTGCTATGGCCTGGGAAAGCAGTAGAAGATGGCCTGAGTCCTTGGGCCCCTGCTCCCATGTGGGAGACCCAGAAGAAGTACCTGGCTCCTGGCTTTGGATCAGTGCAGCTCTGGCCATTGCAGCCAGTTGGGGAGTGAACCATCGGATGGGAGACCTCTCTCTCTCTCTCTCTCTCTGTCTTTGCCTCTGCCTCTCCTTCTCTCTCTGTGTAACTCTTTCAGATAAATAAATAAATCTTAAAAAAAAAAAAATCTTGCCAGCGAGTGAGCTCTTTGCTCACTTCACACCTGTGTCCCTTTGTCTCACACGCTGTGCATTCCTCCTTTCTCATCCTACGCCCAGTGTGCCTTCTCTGAGACCTATCCAGAGGGCATCTGGGTAAATCTCCCTTCTATTTTCTTTGCATTCATACCCCAGCTAATGTGTCTTGCAGTAGTAGGGTCGGAAGTCAAGCAGGAAGCTGGGCTCTGCCCCCAGTTAGCTACATGACCCTGAACCATTCTGTTACCCACCTTGAGCCTTCCCCAGGCACCACCCCCGGCATACTCCGCCCCCTTGCCTGCTCCTTTTATGACCAAATTGTCGTGACCAATTGTGGTGGAGTTGCACTTGCTTATCTTGTCCTCTCTCACTTCGCTGGCTCCTAGGCCTCCCTGGAACATCCAGAAGTTGTTTCCATCATGGCGGAAGTCAAGGTGGAGTCGCGGGCTAGCGTGGACTGGCAGAAACGCTGCCTGGCCTTGGAAACACAGCTTTTCCGGTTCCGCCTACAGGCCAGCAAGATCAGGGAGCTGCTGGCTGACAAGGTGAGTGCTGGCGAGCAGAGCGCTGCCTCATCTCCTTGCAGAGGGGGCCGGAGCCAGAGGGGAGAGTTGGGGAAAGTCAGCTTTTAATAAGATGCTTTTGCACACGTGCCCATGAAACCCGAGGTGGGGCTTTGGTTTGAAGAACAAACTCTTGAGTGATTTGCCAAGCTGTCATCTTGCATTCTTCTCTGCTCTGCCTCTTCTTGGGGCACACCCAAGAAATGAAATAGATCTGAGGCAGGCGTTTGATGCAGTGTTTGAAATGCCAGTTTCCATATCTGAGTGCCTGAGTTCAGTGCCCAGCACTGGCTCCTGACTCCAGCTTCCTGCTAATGCAGACCCTGGGAGGCAGAAGCTCATGACTCAAGTAATTGGATCCCTGCCACTCGTGGGGGAGGCCTGGGTTGAATTCCCAGCTTTGGCCCCGGCCCTGTCCCAGCTGTTGCAGGCATCTGCCCCTCAAATAAAAAGGCTGAAAATAATTTTTGAAAAAAGACACCTATCATCTTGGTCTTCTGTCACCTGCTGAGTGGCTGTGACTCCAGCAGAGGTTCTGTCGTTCCCTTAAAGTGTCTCCCTCAATGCGGGGTAGAAGAGAAGTCCTTAACCCTGCTGCTTGCCTGTTAGCATAGCAGGACATGTGACAAGGACACAGGCTTCGGAGCCAGGCCTAGCAGGCCCTGCTGCGTGCCAGACCCTGCAAGTGCCCTTGCCTCTAAGGCAGGGACACAGAAGACTCTCAGAGTTATGTTGAGAATGAGATCAGACCTCGTATGTAAGGGTCCTGGGGTGGAACAGGTCTTAAAGGGGACGGTTACTATCTCGGCATGCCTGGATGGGCGGTTCTGGCACATGGACCCCCTTCTGTGTGTTTCTGTGGGGAACTGCTTTCTAAACAGCTACCTGCAGAGGTATGTTGGAGAATAACCCATCTAGAGAGTGGAGATCTGCTCTTAAAGGTATGTGCATACCCACAAACAGCCTTCACGAAGTTCACAGAAAATGTGTATTACAAGAAAAACTGTGCATGGATTTCAAACACTTTTTTGCATCAAAATATACATCTTTTCATTTCATTTTCCCCTGAGCCTTTTGAAGTGCTCTCACAAATATGTCTTAAGTGAGTCACCCATTCTCTCTCTAGTTTCATGGTATCCGTCTGCTTACTGAGTTTTTTGCAGTGCAGTGGTAAAATTGAGCTCGCTCCCATCTCCAGGTGGTACCACGTCACCCTCAGTAAAGCCTGAGTAAATGTTTGATTGCTAACTGGAGGCCAGGATGGCAAGGCAGTGGCATCACCTCTGCTTTTCTACGGCCACGGGCGTGGCCCTGGACTAGCTTGGGCCAGAGCTGTTGAGCCCTGAGTCTGTTGGCATTGCTGTCCCCTGGGTCAGACTCTGCCAGAAACATGCAGGGTTCCTGTGGGTGGCTTCCGGGGACCGACAGTAGAAAAGGAAGAATTCAGATCCCTCGGGACCGGGGCAGCAGGCCTTAGACCCTGGTGCCGACAGTCTGCCTGTCCAGGAAGCTGTAAGAGCTGGAGGACTTGCCTTGATCGTGGTACTGGGGGAGGAGGTGGGGAGTGTGGATCCGTTCAGCCAGGTGGTCGAAAACACACCTCAGCAGGAAGAGACTTGTTTCTGATCACATGGGTGACAATTCATGGAAAACAATTTTTAAAAAAAAATTTTTATTTTGAAAAGCAGAGAGAGAGAAACATCTCCCATTCACTGGTTCACTTTCCAAATGCCTGTAATGGCCAGGGCTGGGCTTGGTTGAAGTGAACTCTATCTGGGGGCCTCCTCTTGGGTGCAGGGACCCACCTACTTGAGCCATGACCACTGCCTTCCAGGGTGCACATGCAGGAAGCTGGATTTGTGCGTGGAGGCAGAGCTCTCCCCACGCCGTCTGGTGTAGGACGTGGGCGTGCCATACAGTCATTTGTGTGAGAGAAACTGACGAGAGCAAGGAGGGTTCTGGAGAAACCAAAGGATGTGCAGCAGCCACTTAGTGCCATAAGACGGTGTAACCCTCGGGTGGCCAGAGTGAGTGAGAGACACAGCTATGGAGAATTAGCTTTTTCCCCCTGCCTGAGTGTGGAGAGAAATGGGCGTTGGAAGTGTTCAGCCGTGCAGTCATGGCAGGGCCAGAGTAGGTGGGTCCGTCGCCGATCTGTTGGAGGTGCTGCAAGCTGTGTGTTTTGACGATGTACGAAGGTTGTGACAGTGTTCACAAACCATCACACAGAGGGCTGTGACTAACTTGGAGAACCCCCGAATGTACTGAGGTTCCAAGAGTTCGTGTTGAGCATATGGGTACTGCAGGTGAATACTCAGATCTTTGGCTGTCGTGGTTTCTTTTTAAGATTTATTTATTTATCTGAAAGTCAGAATTACACAGAGAGAAGGAGAGAGGCAGAGAGACAGAGGCAGAGAGACAGAGGCAGAGAGACAGAGGCAGAGAGACAGAGGCAGAGAGACAGACAGAGAGACAGACAGAGGTCTTCCATCCGATGGTTCACTCCTCAATTGACCGCAATGCCCAGAGCTGCACTGATCTGAAGCCAGGAGCCAGGAGCTTCTTCCAGGTTTCCCACGTGGCTACAGGGGCCCAAGCACTTGGGCCATCTTCTTCTGCTTTCCCAGGCCATAGCAGAGAGCTGGATCGGAAGTGGAGCTGCCGGGACTCAAACCAGTGCCCATATGCCACACTGTAGGCTGTGGCTTCACCTGCTACACCAGAGCTCCGGCCCCATGGCTGTCGTGTTTAAAAGTACTTCATTGACTCAAGTGTGGCGCGTGACAGTTTGGAAGAGGAAATGAAGTGGTCGAGAAAGCAGATGAACAGAATGATGAAAAATCACACTTGATAATAACTTCATAGTACATTATGTAGAAAAATGCATACTTTTGATTGCTGGGCATAAAGTCTTAGAACAATTGCCAAAATAAACAAACAAACAACCAACCCCGAAATGGAGAATTATATATAGGATCTGGATTTTCACGTGCAGGTGAAATTTGGATGTGCGAGGCAGGGGAGAGCGGTGGCTAACCGCGCCTGGGACTATCCTGGCTTTGAATCTCACTGTGTGGCCTGTGACCTGTGACCTCACCTCTGTGCTGCAGTTTCCTGATGTATGCAGTAGGAATACATGCAGCACCTGCTTTCTGGGATCATTGGGACATCTTAGTTAGTACGTCTAAAGTGCTCCCAACACAGCCCCACGGGCTCCATGCACAAGTCTTTCCAGACCCTCTCTAGGCTTGTGGTCAGCATCCTCTGGCTTGGACCCTTTTTTTTTTTTTTTAAGATTTATTTATTTATTTGAAAGTCAGAATTACACAGAGGAGAGGCAGAGAGAGGTCTTCCATCCAATGGTTACTCCCCAATTGGCCACAACGGTCGGAGCTGTGCCGATCCAAAGCCAGGAGCTGCTTCTGGGTCTCCCATGTGGCTGCAGGGACCCCAGGACTTGGGCCATCTTCTACTGCTTTCCCAGGCCATAGCAGAGAGCTGGATCAGAAGTGGAGCAGCTGGGTCTCGAACTGGTGCCCATATGGGATGCTGGTGCTTCAGGCCAGGGCATTAACCTGCTGAGCCACAGCGCCGGCCCCTTGGACCCATTCTCTCTCGAGGTGGATTGTCAGTGGGATGACCATGTGATCTGTCCGCTAAACCAGGACACCCTGGAGAGAAAGGGAGAGGAGGCTCCGTCACTCATTATGCCGAACAGCAGGTGAGCAGCAGGTTGTCTCTGGCCAACTGGTCTGCCCCCTTCTAAGTGTCATCTTTGTGTAGGAACAAGTCAGCAGGCAGCTGCTCGTGAACTTCAAGCCCAGGCCTGGGGCGTCACATGTCACGTTCACGTCAGCCCCAGAGGGGATGCTACCTTGCTCCTCTCCCCGGTGAGGGAACTGAGGCGCAGAGAATTGAAGGGTTTTTCTCGAGCCACAGAGTAGTGGGGTCAGCGAGGTTCCGAGCCTTCGCTGTCACCTGTACCATTCTCTCCAGTGGGTGCCGGGCAGTGGGAAGACATTGCACCCCCTTGCAAAAGGGAGAGTTGAAACCCGGGATGGCGTGGCTCTTAGCTCAGGCCCCTGCTTGGCATGACGGGGCTCTACTGGAGGTGTAGGAGAATGCCGTTGCTCCTGTCACCGTGGGGCTGATGATTCACAGCGCGGCCGCGTGTGACAGGGAGCTATGGACATGGGTGAACTGCCAGGTGGGTGCCAAGGGCCTTTCTCAGGTTGCTGCAGCCAGTTCTGGGACGCCTGGGAATGTGCTGTGCAGCTGGTGAAAGTGGATCCCGGTCAGCCGCCGAACCTGACACTCCCTCGGCTGGCACGCCGCCCCAGACCCACACGCCAGAGGACAGCTGAGGACGCGGTCCTAGGGAGCCCTTTGAAGGAACCCAAACAGGCAGCCCTGGCCATAGCACCAGTGTCTCAGGGCTGAAGGCGTGGCTCTTTGTTTATTTATCTAAAGATTTACTTATTTATTTGAAGGGGAGAGGGATACATACACACACACACACATACACGCGCACACACACATACACGCACACACAGACACACACACGATGGTCCAGGTCAAATCCAGGAGTCCAGAGCTTTGTCCAGGTCTCTCATTTGAGTGGCAGGTGCCCAGGTGCTAGGGCCATCCTTTACTGCTCTCCCAGGCACATTAGCAGGAAGCACGATCAGAAGTGGAGCAGCCAGGACTTGAACTGGCGCTCTGATAGGGGGTGCCAGTATCTCAGGTGGCAGCTTAGCTCCCTGTGCTGCAACATTGGCCTCCAGGTGTGTGGCTCTTTTTTTTCTTTTTAGGATTTATTTATTTGAAATGCAGAGTTACGGGGGCAGGTGAGCATGGACAGGGTGAGACAGAGAGATCTTCCATTTGCGGTTCACTGCCCAGATGGCCACAATGGCTGGAGCTGAGCTGATCTGAAGGCAGGCAGGAGCTTTTTCTGGGTCTCCCACGTGGGTGCAGAG